GAGTGAGGCTCCAGCCTGGAGCCCTTACAGGCACCTCTCACAGGGCAGAAGCCCTAAGGCCTAGCAGGACCCTCTTGCTTGCAGAAGTGAAGCCCCAAGCTCCAGCAGACATGTCCTGGCTCTCTAACTTCTGAAGACTTTCATAGGTGGCTCAGGGGGTCAGTAAAGTTTGCCCATCTCTGTAACAGCATATGCAAGTGAATTAAAAATATAAATTAATTGTACAAATGGGGCTTGAAAAAAAGTCCCATTCTGTCAGCTGGCCAAAGCACATAAAAGCAAGCAGGGCTTTAGGATTCCAGGGACTGATGCAAGTACACGTGCAGGCTCTTTGTTGCCTTCTCCATTTCCTGTGCTAGCTCTGCTCCCGCAAGCCAGCTACGAGAACACTACAGCTCTAGTTTGAAGACGAAAAATATGAACGATATTTTATACTTAGTTTAAAGCCTAGGAACCCCTTCAGCATCCCAAGAAAAGCTCTGACTCGGCTGCTGCATAAGAACTCCAGGCTGGGGCAGACCAAGGGTCCATCTAGCTCAGAATCCAGTCTTCCAAAAGTGGCCAATGGCAATTGTCAAGTGATCCATTACCTGCTACCCATTCTAAGCCTCTGACAAACAGAGGCTCCATCCCTGCCCAGTCTAGCTAATAGCCAGGGCTCGACAATTAATGTAATCTACTCCCACTTGGCAAGATTACAAGCTGGCACGGCCACAGAGCACAGTCTGTGCATGCGCAGCGAGCAGAACTGCGCAGCTGGCGAGCCCTGCTAATAGCTACTGGTGGACCTAACCCCCATGAATTTATCCAGTTCTTTTTTGAACCCTGTTATAGTCTTAGCCTTCACCACACCATCTGGCAAGGAGCTCCACAGTGTACAGTAAACCTGCGTGAAGAAATACTTCCTTTGGTTTTAAACTTGATGCCTATTAATTTCATTTGGTGGCCTCTAGTTCTAGTAAGTTGTACATCTCAGAGAATTTGCTAATTTCACTTGATATTTAACCCACAGGTTCTCAACCTTTTTCTTTAAAGGGCCTCTCCCTCCCAACATGCTATGAAAACTCCATGGCCCACCTGTGCCACACCAATCCAAACACTGCAGGCTCCAAGCCTAATGCACTAGCTCAGTCTAGCACACTGCTGCGCTGACAAAGATGAGAAGTTAAGGTAATGCAGTTGCACTAGCTCAGCTAACCCACCCATAATTAGCAACTTCGAACCACTCCAGCCTGTACATCACTGACAGCTCAGAGCATGGGCTTGCATGTGTAAAGGCACAGAACTGCCAAGCTGGTAATAAGCGGGCCTCAGCTCAGATCAGCTCTTCTATGCAGGCTTAATATGCACAGATGCATCCCCACATTCTGCAAGGTGTGTGCAACACTAAGGATGTTAAAATGCATTTAAGCAACTGTGTAACTGCTGAAAATTTAAAAACTAGTTTCACACGCAGACTGACTCCCACCTGCTGCCCCTGATAGAGGCAGCAGACCTTGTTTGTGGGGGGCCTAGCTCCCCATAGATAGAGGCTGCACGGCCTCTGTAAACAGCGAACCCATGTAGCAAAAATGTATATTTTAGTATCGGTTGCAAGACTATAATTATGATGCATAATGACTGATGTTTAATGACTTGCTTATAAGTTTGGTCAGCTTTTATTTTACCCTGTTTCTCAAGATTAGATAATGGTTACTGTAAAGCTTTGCTTCCTGTTAGCATTACAAATTAAGTTGTACCCCTTATCTGTATCACAAACTAAGCAGTGTGAGATTCGTTCCTTTTTGTTGTTCCTTTAGTGACTATTAATCTTGTCTGAAACTCTGAACAACTGGGTGTGAATGGAGGATGTGTGTAAGTTTAACAACCATCACAAATGCCCAGATGACCAAGAAGTGGGAATCTTGAAGAGAACCAAGAAACAGCCATTAGGTCTGAGGCTGAATAGACAGAACCCTGGAGATAGGCAGAGACCCCCAAGAGCAAGAAAGAAGGGATGGGAACCCTGACAATCACTATCAAAGGATAACGCCAGAAAACACTGATTAACACATCCTAAGGATGGATGACTCCAGCATGACACTGCAAAACCCACAAGCTTCAACGGAAACTGCCATTAGGACTCTGGGTTCTGTCCTGCAAGCCAAGCCTCGGAGGAGCCTCAAATAGTGATCAACAAGAATCCAACTCCTCACTCAGTCAGTCTTGCCTGGCCAGTAAGACTGATTTGAGCCACAACGGACTGGTAACTATGCATCATCTGCAGAGGGCTGTATGTGTACGCAAATGCAAATTGCTCTTTTCATTTTGTATGTCAGTAAATGCAGTGCACTGCCTCTTCCCTGGAAAAGATCCCAGGTGCTTCTTACAAGCACAACACCTGGGCCCACCTCGGACAGAGGCTGCTCTGCAGCACTCTCCCCCTGCTCCCTCAATCAGCTGAGGGGAGGGAGGGGAAGAAGAGAAGGGAGGCAGGCAGCTCAAGGGAGCCAGTGCTTGGGGAGGAGCCAGCTTGAAAGATCCAGTTCCTGCCTTCCCTCCCTCTGCCCCCCCCCCCCCCCCCACACTCCTTCCG